GCGCCGCCAGGGCGGAGGGCGAGATCTTCGTGCCACAGCTCCGCCGTGGGGGGCGACAGGCAGCCTTCCTGGGCTTTTGTGCCTCATACTCCTGCTGGAGGTTTCACACCTGTCGCTGGACTTCAACAGCCAGCAGGAAAGGCACGAGGCGGATATGGCTGTGGCAGCGGCACCGACCTCAGCGGCCCCAGTGAGCTTGAGTTGCAGAGCGTGGAGCTGCTTGGGGTAAAGACAAAGAACAGCCAGCTCGTCCAATCTTGCAAGATGGAGAGGGAACGCAGGGCGCGGCCTGGCCAGGGGGGGGGCACGCCTCGGCAGGAGCAGCCCATGCACGTCTGCTGGCGCTCGAGTCGCAGCTGCCTGCGGCCGCGGGGTGCTTGGAAGCGATCAACCAGCCCCCTGACCAGCAAACGAAGATTGTCAGTGAGCTCGTGGGCCAGGTGGAGCAGGCCTCCAACGAGTGCAAGGCTGCAGTGCACGCGCTCCACGAGCGCACTGTTGGCCATGCGGATCCATCAAGAGGCGCGGGGCCGAAGCTACGGATCAGCGACATCCTCGAAGCCGCATCTCGGAGCTGCTTCTCGAGGACGAGGGTATCTTTGGCTGGGGGGAGGTTTCAGAACCCTCAAGCGATGATAAGAACCAGTTGGCTGAGCGAAGGCGGCTCCTGGCTGAGGGGCCCCAGACCGTCGCCCAGAACTTTTTTGGCGAGGTGCGACGGAAGGCAGATGTCTTGGTCCAGCAGCATCAGGAGCACGTCGACCGCGTGCCCAAGAAGCGCAAGCCCGAGGCGCAGGAGGCTGGAGGAGCGTCTGCGACGGCGACGGAGGCAGCCGAGCCCGCTGCGGGGCACGGCGGCCAGGCTGCCGCCCATGGGTCGGCGCAGGCGAGCACTGCACCTCCTGCGGTTCCGACTGCGGGCGCCGAGACTGGCGCGCAGCGTGATTAAATTGCACGCTCGCAGGGGCGGAGAAGCCACGGTCTGTTTAGCATGGCTCGGGGCGCATCTGTGAGTGCGGAGGGGCTTGCTGCCCCGCGCCCTTTCGCCTCCCCCCTCCCGCCCGCCCCCCCTTCCAGCCCCTCTCGCGCCCGGTCGTTGTGAGTTCGTCGTTGAAACTGCTAGCGCGACTCTTTGCATGATTTTGGCGAATGAAACTCGCGCCGATGCCCCCCTGCCCCAGGAGGTCGCCTGGGGCGCCATCAGAAGTTAAAGAGGCAGGTTCGCGTTTATCTAAGTTGGGCTGGCAGTGCAGCCCTAGGCTTTCTCGCGTTGCCCCGGGCGGCGGGCGGGCGGGGGGGGGGTCGCCGTCGGGCGTCGTCGATCGCGCGGCGTGAGCCTGCCGCCCAGCGTCCGCGCGCCCTGTCTGTCGAGCCCCCAGGGACCCATATCTGCTGGGTCAATTCCGTTGTCCCAGGGGGCCCCTGGCTGTTTCGCTCTACCTTCCGACGGGGGTGGCGGGGGGCTAGGGGTAGAAGTTCGCGCTGTCTGGCCAGGCTGGGGGAGTTGCTTCATGGGTGGAAGCTACCGTTCGTCATTGGTGGAGATTGGAACTCCACTCCGCAAGCTGTTCGTGAGCGGGGATGGGGCTCCAAGCTCAGAGCGAGCATCTGCTGTGCGCCCGGGTTCCCCGCGCGCCGCTGTGGAAATGTCTGGGGGGGGGGGGGAGGGGCATCCTCATGGCGCCGCCTGGTCGTGCCAGCTTGGTCCGGGAAGTTCGACGCAGTAAAGTTTCTACTGCGAAGCCCCATTGGGCGGTGCAGTTGGTTTTCAGAGATCGGCGTGCTATTCCTGAAGTGCCTGTTCTCGTGAGCCCCAGAAGCTCCCCGCGTAATGGGTCCGAGGTTCCCCGTGGCCCTCGTGGTCCACTGGTTGTCCGGGGCTCCTTGGCCGACCGTCTCGAAGCTCAATCAGATCTCAGTTTCTCGCGATCTTTCTGCCGCGAGGTCTCGTGCCTCTACGAAGGCGAGATGCGTGGGGCGCCATGTTTTGACGGGGGCCCTGGACAAGTGTCGCGGCGGGGCCCAGGGGGCCAAGATCCAGGTGCATCCTGAGATTCAGACCACTGGCGGGCCGCATCCTGTGGGGCGTTCTCTGGCGAGAGGCTGGCGTTCGGTCCTAATCTGGCTCGCGGAGCTTCATTCTGTTCGTCTGAAAGGGGCTTCCTGGCAGGGGCGTGATACTCAGTGTATCTTGAACAAACTAATCAGGGGTCCTCGCACGTTTCGCGGCGACGCTGAGCGGATGCCCCGGTGCCCGTCTCGGTCCGATCTCGAACGAGCACCAGCGCAGCAATTTCGCCATCTTGCTATTGATGCAGGGCGCGCTGCAGACCGACTGGAGCGCGCCCAAGTCTCGCGTCGCCAGACTGCCTGGAGGAGCTGGGCCAAATATGCTGTAGCCGCTGGCGGGGGGTCAGGCCGCCGTTGCACCAAATCCCCCGCGGGTTGGATCCCCTCTAGAGTTGACGCCGACCAGGCCTCTCCAGGACCTGGGGAAGTTTTGGGCTCTCCCGCAGATGAGTGGGGGGCGATTTGGACCGCGCCTTGAGGGCGTCATTCGGATGCTGACCCTTTAGATCATCTTGAGCAGCACATCGCCTTCCTCTCGGCTAGCGACAAGGGGCGCATGCTACATTCGCCCGGAGCTGACGACATCCACCCTCGGGACCTCCTCCTGGTCGGCGACGATTGTATTGGGTCTCTGTCGGGCCTCTGGAAGGCCATCTTAAAGTTCGGAGATGTGCTGGTGCAGCTGCGCACGATCTTGAGTGCGATGATAGAGAAGCCTGGTGGAGGCCACGGGCCCACGGGGCTGTTATCGGCCTTTGTGCGCGTGTTGTTTCGCATGGTGAGAATTGCTGCGGCCTCTTGGGGCAGGGGACATCGGCAATATTTCTCTTTTGGCAGTGCTGGAAAGTCGTGTGCACGGGCGGTTTGGGAGCAGTCAGCTTTGGGTGTGTTCGCTCAGAACGCTCAGGTGGCCTTCTCCGCCTCGTTCCTCGACCTCACTAAACCTTACGAAACTGTCGTTCACCTCCTATCTGTCCAGGCGACCATTCACCACAACGTCACGTGTTCGTTCTTCGGTGCCTTCTGAAAGCTCATCAGGGCAAGCGGCGCCTCGCGCTCGGCAAGATGATTTATCGCGGGGCGTTTGCATTGCAGGCTACCTTGGCTGGCTGCTCTTTCGCTACTACCTCCTCGAGCTCCTCTTGCTCGACCCGATCGACCTCGCTGCTGCTGCCTTCAGATTCGTTCGGATATTGCATTATGCATCGCAGGCGAGGCGGCCGCGGTACCTGGCGGTCCAGGGCGACCCAGCCTTTTCCCATGCGAGAAATTTGAGCTTCTCTACCAGGCGATTTCACAGACCAGGGGGGGCGGTGGCAGCCGCCCGCGATTCGATTTTGAAGGCGGTGGCCCATCGATTGAGAAATTCTTCACGCTTCGCGTATCCCCACCAGCCCATCTCAAAACAGCAAATCTTGCGAAGCATGCCGACAGTCGTGTTTTTTCAGGCGTGTTTCCGCCTGCCCCCGCATATCTCCCCTGTTCCTCCTTCCCCCCGCGTCCGTGCACATCCTCCATGTGGTGGGAGCGGGAGAAGGACGAGGCGGAGGAGGAGGGAAAGAAAGCGCTCCTCGTGGTTTGAGTCGTTTGGGGTTTCTCGTCCTGGTGTGAGTCGTTCGGGCCCTTCTTCCTGGTGTGAGTCGTTCGGGCTCTTCGTGGTGTGAGTCGTTCGGGCTCTTCGTCCTGGTGTGAGTCGTTCGGGCTTCTCGTGGTGTGAGTTGTTCGGGCCCCTCATCCTGGTGTGAGTCGTTCGGGCCCCTCCTCCTGGTGTGACTCGTTCGGGCTCCTCGTGGTGTGAGTCGTTCGGGGCCCGCGTCGTGGTGTGAGTCGTTCGGGCTCCTCGTGGTGTGAGTCGTTCGGGCGCCTCGTCCTGGTGTGAGTCGTTCGGGCCCCTCCTTCTGGTGTGAGTCGTTCGGGCTCTTCGTGGTGTGAGTCGTTCGGGGTCTTCGTCCTGGTGTGAGTCGTTCGGGCTCCTCGTGGCGTGAGGCGTTCGGGCACCTCGTCCCTTTTTGGGGCGTCTTGGGGGCCTCTTGGCGGCCCCAGGGGCTTCTAGGAGCGTATTGGGTGCCTTGGGGGAGCCTCTTCGGGCCTATTGGGAGCCTCTTGGAGGCCGTTTGGGGCGTCTTGGGGGCCTCCTGGCGGCCCCAGGGGCTTCCAGGAGCGTCTTGGGTGCCTCGGGGGAACCTCTTGGGGCCTCTTGGGGGCCTATTGGGGGCATCTTGGGGGCCTCTTGGAGGCCTCTTGGGGGCCTCCTGGGGGTCTCTTGGGGCCATCTTGGGGCCTCTTGGTGCCTCCTGGGCGCTTCTTGGGGCCATCTTGGAGGAAATCGATTAAAGAAGAGGGGGGGTTTAATTAGCGCTGCCCCCTCAGAAGGGCAAAATGGGGCCAGAACCTTCGTAAAATCAATGATTTTGGCTTGAAAGAAGAGGGGGGCTTTAATTAGCGCTGCCCCCTCAGAAGGCCAAAATGGGGCCAACACCGTAGTAACATCAATGATTTTGGCATCAAAGAAGAGGAGAGCATTTTTTCTCCCCCCCCCGTCGGGGCCAGAATCCTTGTGAAGGGTGTCGTTTTTTAGCCCTCCCAGGAGTCGAAAATGACCCCTCCAACGACCCGCGGAGGGGCCTCTCCAGGCCCAGGGGGAGGGGGTAGGGGGAGGGGTAAACCCTTCCCCGAAGGGGAAGGAGGGGGGTTGAGAACAGAGAGAGCTCGCTAAACCACTCACGCCCAAAGGGCTGTTCGATTTTGAAGGCGGTGGCCCATCGATTGAGAGATTGGAAGTTCAGTCGCAGCGATTCGACTAAAAACTGCGAGCGTGCTTCAGGGCCAAGGGGGAGGTGCGCGCGAAGGTTCATCTTGGCAGGACCGGCAAACTGAAACCCGGGTTCCACTGGTTCCGCGCACTCCGCTGAGCCGCCGTGGGCGCCAAGCGCATTTTGAAGACTGGAGGACTACCTACAGGCGTGCATGGTGCTCGTGCCCACGGGCTTTCTGATCGTCGATTGGCGCAGCTACGAGCAGTCGTTGCGCGTCCCGCCATCGGAGTTTCTCGAGGCCGGTCAAAAACCTTGGAATTTCTATCATGCTCCGGCCCCGCCCTCGACCCCACCCGCCATGCTAACCTCCGCCCCCTCCAGTCCTGGGCCCAGGCCTGGCTTGAACGGCGGCTCCCACGGAGCCTTTCTCTAACTTTGTTGGGGCCCGCCAGAGGACTCCTGAGTTTGGGTGGAACCAGGTTCGGGGCCCTGGTGGGGCCGTGTTTTGCACCCTCAAGATGCCCAAATGGGAACCTTTTTTCATCCGATCGCCTGGACGGACCCTAGAGGAACTACCCTCGACTTCGGCTACTTCGAGAAGAAATGGCTCAGGCCGTTGGTCCAGGCAGGTTGCAAGTTTTCGCTGCCGCAAAGCCTGGGCGGCCTCTCCGCGCGCGGCGGCACCTTGAAGGGCCCGCCGAGGCTCGACCCCATCATCAATGTGCTCCAGCGCCTCCGCAGTGCAGGTCTGCAGGCAGAGGCGGCTTTCTTGGCGGGCTCGGCTTCATGAGGCTATCCGACCCAGTGCACGCTGTACATGGATCGTCGGGCGGCCAGTCATAGACGCAAGTTATGTGGAGGTATGGGCGCCCCAAAACATCGGCTTGCGGGTTGTCCCTCCAAGTGGTGGTCTCGCCGAGAAATCGACCTCCCTGAAGCTATCTCAGACATCGAGAACGGAGATAGATCCCTACGACCTGGCTAGGACCCGAGTCCTTGTCCCCAGCCTGGCCCACCACGCCCCTCCCCCCCGTTGGGTGTATTCCTCTTCCTATATGTTTATAAGCCTGGGCGGGGAGAAAACCCGCCCCCCCCCTCCCCCCCCCTTCAAAACCGGACTCCCGGGACCTGGGGCCCCGGGGCCCTCCGGACGGGCTTCGAAGCGGCCGCCGGGCCTCGCAAGGCGTTTCGCCAAGCCTTCCCAGCGCACTTAAGGCGATCATGGGGGTCATCGGAGACGTCCCAGAGACCCCCAAGACTGCACAAGAACGCTCCAAGAGTGACCGACGTGACCTCAAGATGGCCCAGGAGGCCTCCAGGGCGGCCCCAAAGAGGCCTCTAAGAGCACTCCCAAGAAGGCCCCCCGAGGGAAAAATCATTGTTTTTCTTTTGGTTTTTGGTGAATTTTGGGGTTCTCCTCTTTTCGGCTTCCCGACGCTCTAAGACGGCGGTCTTCTGGGCGTCCGAAGCCGCCTGGGAGGCTCCCAAATCGCCCCACAACCATCCGAAAGGGTTTCCAGGCAGTCCAAGAGAGTCCCCAAACGGTACAACACGGGTCCAATATGGCCCTCCGAGAGCCCGAGAGCCCCATGGCGGCCCAAAATGGCCCAAAGACACCCTCCGAAGAATTCTAAATCGTGATTCGGTCGTTCAGGGAGACGGCGGTTGGAGGCAGGGTGGCCTGAGGAAGCCCCCAGAGGCCCCCAGAATACGCCCAGGAGGCTTCCAGAAGGCCTCAAGAGAGCCCGGAACAACTTTTGTGAGGCCCCTAGAGGCTCTCCAAGGAGGATGGGGAGAATGCGCAGGGTATGGCGAAAATACGGGACAATAAGCATGGAGGAATAATAACGAATAACATCATTATGGCGGCGATGCCGGAAAAAGGCAACCAGGAGTTATCGCTAAATTGTCGGCTTGACCTTCCTGCCGTGCCGCCTGCATGCTAAACTTCAAGGACCAAGGTGCATGGCGCGAAGCGCCACTGCAGTCTTGTATATACATATAACGGCGCACCGGGTCTGGGGGCCCGGGGCCGGGACCTCGACCACAAATGTGGGCCCCGGGGGGCCCAGAGGCTCGTCGGACCGCCGGACGCCGTCCAAGATCGTTCGCAGGCGGCTTCGGAACGCGCTCCGATGGCTCCAGATGCCTTCCAAGACGCCTGTCATGACACCAAGAAGGTCCCAGAAGCCTCCAAGACGCTCCGAGAGGCAGCCCAAGAGAGGCCCAAGAAGCAAAAATCGTACCATTCCCATGGGAAAACGTATATTTTTCGCATGTTCGCATCTTGGGCTTTCACCGCGTCCAAGACGGCCCAAGAGGCGCCCAAAACGGTCTACGAGGCCTCCGGGAGCGCTCCAAGGCTGCGCACGAGTGGCCCAGGACGGCCCCAAGACGGCCCAAGAGAGCCTCAAGACGAGTTCGAGAGGGGTCCCAGACGGAGAAAGCCAACCTCGAATTCCGAGCTTCCGGCTCAAGAGGCTCCAGGAGGCGCCAAAATGCCGCCAAGAGGCGCCAAAAGGCTCCCAAAAGCACCCCAAGACTTTCCGAGAGGCACCCCAAGAGAGGTCCAAAAATCGTGCCATTCCTATGGGAAAACGTATATTTTCGCATGTTCGCATCTTGGGTTTTCACCGCGCCCAAAACGGCCCAAGAGGCCTCCAAGACGGCCTAGGAGGCCTCCGGGAGCGCTCCAAGGCTGCGCACGAGTGGCTCAGGACGGCCCCAAGACGGCCCAAGAGAAGCCCAAGACGACTTCGAGAGGGGTCCCAGAAGGAGAAAGCCACTCTCGAATTCCGAGCTTCCGGCCCAACATATCCCAGGAGGCGCCCAAACGCCGCCCAGAGGCGCCAAAAGGCTTCCAAAATCAGCCCAGGACGTTTCGAGAGGCACCCCAAGAGAGGTCCAAGAAGCAAAAATCGTGCCATTCCCATGGGAAAACGTATACTTTTTCGCATGTTCGCATCTTGGGCTCTCACCGCGTCCAAGACGGCCCAAGAGGCCTCCAAAACCGCCCCAAGACGGCCCAAGAAGCTTCCAAGACTTCCAAGAGGGCCCCAGGACAGCCCAAGAGGGCCCCAAGACGGCCCAAGAGGCGCCCAAGATGGCCCAAGAGGGCCCCAAGACGGGCCCAAGAGGGGGCCCAGAGGGGGACCACGAACCGCAAGCTCGAGCCTTCCGCCCCAAGAGGCCGCCAGGAGGCCCCAAGGAGGCCCCTCAAGAGGCCCCAGGAGACCCCCAAGAGGCCCAAAGGAGGCCCCGAGAAGCCCCAAATCGGCCCCCAAAATGCTTCGAACCTGCTTCCAGGAGGCCCCCGACAGGTTCAGAGGCTCCCGAGAAACTACGTCAAACTCCCAGCGAGCGGCCGGACGAGGCCCCCCACAAAATCACAAGAGGGTTCCAGCATTTGTATCCTTCAGCGCTCTCTGGCCTTCTTCCCCCTGCCCCCATTCCCTGCGACTTTCGTTGACTCAAGCTCGCCTCCTAGCTAGAACCTAAGCGCGCGCGAAGCGCGCGCGTGGTTCTAATATGTATGTATATATATATAGCTATTTCTTTTTTTTTTTTTTCTTTTGTTCTCTCCCTCTCTCTCTCACCCGGAGGGTGTTCCCACCGATGTGATATTTCAGCGGTTATGTTGCGATAGACGGCTCTTCTCTCTGCCCTGGATATCTTGCGCTGGAGCGTGCTGGTTGGGGGTGGTTACGGTTGACCGCCACGGGGGGTGCGACGGGGTCCTGTGCGGGCCTTTGCCCCGCCCTGTCCAGCAGGCTGGCTGCGCCGAAGTGAATGCTCTGTATATCGGGAGCGGAAAAGAGGGGGGTGATGACTAGGGGGGGGTGGATATCATGGCGCGGGCCATGATATTTCCCCAGATTTCATGGCGCCTCTTCTTGTTTCATTACGTCCCCGGCCCCCCCGCTGGGCCGCGCACATGCCGCCGGTCATGATTTGCACCCCCCCCTCTTGGACACCCCCCTCTTGGCCGCTCCCGAGTATAGTATATGCGGCTCTGCCATGTTGGAGTTGGAACCGCCACTGAAGCTTGTGATTGCCAGATGGTCGTGGACATCTGGGGGAAAAAGGAGCTCATCATATTCTAGATAACGTCGCATATGCCGAGCTCTGGAGACATTGTTTGCTAAATCCCCTGGCTTGGCTTCTAACGTCTCGCTAATTAAGATCCGTAGTCACCAGTCCTGGACCAAGGCTTCCAACCAGGGCGCGGCATGGTGGGCCTGGCGAGGTAATCGGGAGGCCGGCCGAATGGCCAAGCTCGGCGCCTTGCAGCACCATGTCTCGCCAGATTTGAAAGCGGAACTCAAGGCCCAGGGTTTCCAGGTGCGGGGTCGGGCCCTGTTGGTGGCGAGAATCGGGGGAGCGCTATCCAAGCTGAATTTCGCCGATGCCGACCAATTTCGGGCCAAGCGTGTCAAGGATCTCGAGATTTTAGGACTAGTGCCAGAGCCGAATGGTCACCATATAATAAAGGTGGACCAGAGATCCGCCTGTCAGATTTGTGGCGTCAGGGACTGGCCTCGTGGTGCGACGTGTGCGTTTCCATGCTCTGGGCTCCCAGGTGCTGCTAGACTTGCTCACCCCTCCCATCGACTCTGGTGTGGCGAAAGTGACAGAATCTGGTGTAGTGTCTGTGGGGCGTTCGGCACGAGGAGGGTCAAACTTTTAGCTGAGAGGTGCCACAAAGGCCCTCGCCAATCCCTGACCATGCTGAAGAGCGGGATCGACCCACACTCGAAAGTAAGGTTCGGGAAGTCCTTTCCGCTCCATCGTTGACCCCGTGCTGAACCATTTGTCACCTTTTTTGCGCGATGTGTTGCGTCAGCGGGACATTGTGCGCCAAGGACCTAGAGAACCTAGATGAGGAAGAGGAAGAGGATGAGGAGGAGGAGGAGGAGGAGGAGGAGGAGGAGGGTGACGGGGAGGAGGAGGAAGAGGAGGAGGAGGAGGAGGAGGAGGAGGAGGAACTGACTACATCGCGGGTGTCTCGCGCTCGGCGCGACGGCCGCGGCGTTGTCAGGAGAGTTGACGGCTCCAGGCAGCGGGGGTGCGCAAGGCACCGAAACCAGCCCGACCCCAGGAGGGGGGCCACACGCGAGCCCAAAAAGGGCCCCAACCCAGGAATGCCCAGGGAAGAGAACCACCACAGCAACCCCGCCACTGCCTGGAGCCGTCCCCCCCCCCGACGCCCCCCACCTCACTGCCACTCCCTCCTCGGCAGCCTTCTCGACCACGCCCATGGCGGCCTCTTTCAAGCAGTCGATGTGGTCGTCCATGTCACTGTCGATGATCCCCATCTTCAGCAACACCTGCGCCTGCTCGCTGAGCTGGGCCAGCAGGGGCGTCGGGAAGGCAGGCCCCTCAGGAAACTCGCCCACCTTCTGCTCGCTGTCCTCGAGCGCGGCCGCGCAGCCCAGGATGGTGAACTTAGCGAAGTCCTCAAACGAGCCCGCCATCTCGTCAACCCCGACCTTGCCGTCCGTGCCCACGCTGCCCTTGCCCTCGATGCGCTCTAAGCCGAGAGCCCCCGTCCACATTCTCCTTCTCCTTCTTGCTGGTGCCGCCCAGCGAGGAGAGCAAACCAGGGGTTACAGTAACAGGCCCCTTGACCCCCGGTTTGCTGGGCGTGCGGTCATTCTTCTGGGAGCCATTCTTGTTGCTTTGCTTGTGTTTCTTCTTGAAGCCCTGCTGCGACGACTGGCCTGTCGAAGACGCGGTCGTCTCGTCGTCCGCCTCATGCTCGAAGCAGCCCTCGAAGGCGAATTTCGCCAC